GTCAGCCACAAGGATGCTTTTGCTCTTTCAAGGAAGGTCATGATAGAGAGGCAGGAACGAGTGACTGTGGAAGGACAAGACTGGGTTGGGTTTTTTTATTTATACCAGCCCATACTGAACACTGACCTGCAGCCTGACAAACCAAACTGCTATTTCTTGGACTTTTAAGCCTTAAAGCATGTGGACTGTTGCAAGAAAGGAAGCAGATTTACGAATGAGTCGTCTCCAGCAGTCTGAAATAATTCCCTTCAATGAACACTTGACAAGCAGGAAGAAGGTATGAGAGAGAGTCCTTTCCTTAGGGCAAAACTTAGTTTTAACATATTCCAGAACTAACTGGATGCCAGTTCTAAATGATTGTGGAGAGAACTGGAAGAAAAAAAAAAAATCATCTCTAATGAATCAGCAAAATGTTGCTAAAAATGCTTTAATTTGAAAGGAAGGCTTGGGCAAGAAATAGAGGTGCCACCCTGAAGGACCAAAAGAACCAAAGGGATGGAACAGCCCTCACCCACCAGGAATCTGCAAGAGACTTGAGATCATGTCCCATGCTTGGATGTTAGATAGGTATTCTGCATGTCTGCATTGAGGAGGACTTGCATAATTTAGGATTTGAATAATAAATCTCAGCTTGGTTCATAGGTTTTGGTTGTTTTGGGGTTTTTGGCAGAGAAGAAGAGAGGCTTTCGGTGTAACTGGGAAATATAGCATTCATTTGTGTGTCTTGAGGGAGGAATCACTTTTTTAAATGAAGTATATTAGTTTCTAGATTCTGAGGAGTATTGGGTCTGGATTTTGGTTTAGATTAAGAAAGCAGGTTTTTTTTTATCTCATCTTTATTTTTTTGGTGGAAAATGATTGAATTGGGACATATATGCATATTCAACTCTGAGCAGAACTAGTACAAGACTTGATTGTGTTTGTGACTGAATAAATTTACTGATTTACATTATATATTTAGGGGGTTTTAACCAAAATTTCAAGGATTTGCATTTTAAGTGACTTGGTGTTAGTTGAGTTTGGTCCTGCCTCCTTGGAGTGGTCTCTGTTACGTTGTACTTTTGGCATTAGCAGGCAGTTCACTGCCTCTGTTTAGGGCAGTACTTTATGATTTAAGAAAAAGAATAAGTGAGAAAGACTGAAAATTTGATGTGGAAAGAAAATGAATTTTGTTATCTCTAATAAAAATCGAAGGAAAAAGAGCCAGTCTGACTGTGGCAGTTGTGCGCAGTAGAATATCTGCTGCTGAAAATTCAAGAGATAGGTATTATCTCTAGCTGAAAACCCAGCTCCTGTTTTGGTATGTCTAAATCTGTCACATCTCTTATGCAGGCTGTTGCTGTCTAGCCAGCCAAGTAAAGAAGTGAAAATTAAGTAAGACTTCAGCTTTGTTTAATTTACAGTGTAAAGTTACAGCCTGTAGCACTGAAAATTAAGAAAGGGGGGAAAAGAAAAAAAAGAAAAAAGAAAAGTTGGGCTCTTTTTAGAGCTCTTACTGTTGCAAATTTGCTTCTAGAAGACTGAGAAAATACTGTCTAGCTCAAGAGTTCAAAATCATGGACAGGTTTAAAATAAGATTTTGACTGCTTTCCAAGTTTTGAGTTGAAGTGGACGAGAACAATTTGTGTTTTACAATTGCTGCACATTGTAAATTAATTCCTGAATGTGCTCCCCCAAAAATCAGATTCTAGTGCTCTCTTCTAGTCTGTAGGCACTGCAGCTATAATTGCTCTTAATTTGTTATTTATCCTGTTCCTCTCCCTTTTTCTCCACATTTTTTCCATGCTCTTCCCTTCTCCACTTCTTACTAGTCCTTCCCAGTATACCACAGAAGTGTTTACAGCGTGCAGTTAGATTGATTAATAGCACTTCCTTTTTAATAGCAAACTTGTATGCAGTTAATAATTCTTACATGATCCTTCATTTACTAAGAACTTTTAGGGTTTTTGTTCCTGCAAATGAGTTCTTACGGAACTGCCCCATATGTTTAGGGTTTTTTTTTTTTAACTGGAGGTTCTTATCCATTGCAGCTGGGTAAGTTAGTTTGCTCTGCATCCCCAGTTTTTAACACAATTAATGTTTAAACAGAAATATAAGATCAAAACTTTGCTCTCAAGGTAAAAAAAATGGGATAAATGAGATACTAAATCAAGACAGAGTTTATTAATCTAGCCTTTGTGACTTTGTATCTATTAGAGCAGGAACAAGACAAAATCCTTACTGGTCAGCATGTCACAAGAGAGCCAGTGAGTCTGTCTCGCTGCAATGTTAAGACAAGATTGACTTGCCCTCAACCAGTCTTATGTCACATTGGACTTTTCCCCACTGTTTTCATATTGTGAGAAACAAAGAGTTTTGTTCTTGTTGACGGACTGTTTCAATGATACCATTTTAGTTTGTGTTTTGAAGAGTTTCCCAGCTATTAAAACGTTAACTGGTGCTCATGCTACTTCCTCTGAGTGTATTAACACTTAGTTGTGTTTATTTTCAAAGACTTGCCAGGATAGAAGAATCTTGCTGTAAGCCTTGTGATATTTTTCCTGCTAATCAAAAGAGAAATTTAAAGATATTTAAGAGGTTAGTGGTGTACGAGTGGGACTTTAAATTTCAATTGTACGCTTCTCACTTGCTTCTGAAATGTGGTACCATAACCACAGGATTCACTAAGGCATCTATATACATCTTGATAATGTTTAAGGCTATAAGTATTGTTTTTATAAAAATGAAATATACACATATATTTACTGGCATCTCTTTATACATGTTTATTTTTCCCTTAAGTGAAATTTGGAGATTTAATTAAATAGCCCATTTAGTTCCAGACTTCAAGTGATTATATTACAGTTTTGGAACAGAAATTGAATTGTAGTTTGATAAAGGGCATTTTAAATACCAAGCAGAGATTGGCATTTAGCACGGCAGATGGGGGTTTGTAGTGGTGCCCAATGTTTAGTCTTAATCAGTTTAGTTCTTGCTTTCTTGCCATGAATCCTATCCAAATACTCCCCCCACCCCACCCCACCCCCCCCCAAAAAAAAATCTGGCTTGCTGGCTCTTGTGGGAGATGTGCTTGAGAATAACAAATACAGTGCACGTGGGAGGTGGGAGAAAGTAATTCACGGTAACTCTTCAGGACTGCTCCATCTGTGACCCCTTTCCCTCTGCTGTCATTGCACCCCTGCAATTGAGAGGTCCTGATCCTTTTATTTTTTTTCAGGAGCTTTCATTTGATTCACTCACTCTTGAACTGTGTTTAGGCCAGAGTACTCTTTATAGTACTCACATACCATTTGTTAACAATATTTTTTATAAGCTTGCTAACTCTTCATACAAAAGTTGATCGATAAAACAAACAAAAGTATTGTGCGTTGTGTGAGTGTATTGTTAGATAACAGATCTGCTGTTTGGGAGTGGGTTCAGGGTCTTTTTGGTCTTGTGTGTGGTAGGGTTTTTTCATTTGCTTAGGTTTTGGTTTTATTTTGTGGTTGTTGGTTTTTTCTTTTTTTAATACCTCCTTGTATGCCAGTGTTACCCGGGGACCTCTGCATCTTGAGTTCCGCTTCCCTTAGAAGTCTCTTCCAGCAAGCTTTCCTGCTTATCCCCGTGTTGCCTGGGTTCCAAGTACGGCCCTGCGCAGGCTGGGTCTCACACCAACTGTGATACCCAAGGAGATAGCTTCAGCCTTGTCCAGCTGCATGTGCACCTCCAGCTTTTCTACTGACCAGGCCTTGAACTGGAGCAGGCAGAAGTTACAAACCTGCTTGAAGTCTTTTAGTTGTGACTCCTTGGCCGTTACCTCATTTCTTCCTGCCTTTTTCTGAATCTCCCCAGATTTCCTACTCTATGCTTTGGGTGTTTGCATTGCGTACAACTTGCTTCTCCTGCCAATGGTTGCTCTTGCTGCTCACAAAGGGCTAGGTACGCGCTGTGTTTGTGCTCACCTAATCTCTGCACTACTTGTGTGTCCTCTTCAGTTCCAGCTGTGTCCTTACTGATGCGCCCGGTGGTTTTGACCACTGCTGTGGCCCTCTGTGCCAGGGCTGTTACTCCTGCCTTGCCCTCTCCTTCCAGCGCCTTCCTTTCTTGAGCAACAGCTTTTCCTCCTTTAGTTTCAGCCTCCTTTGCTCCAGCTTCTGCTGTACCCATGAAACCAGTCTGAGCAGGGTCTGTTCGCTGGTCTTTCCATGCACTCCTTGCATCCTCATCTTCACTTCGCTCAGCCATATGTACGATCTCCTTGCTCTTTGGTGCTTACGGGAACCTGTATGTCGACATCTCGTTCCTGGGTTCTGGTTTCTTGGTAGTCTTACAAAATTAAATCATACTTGTATAGCGACTGTACAGGATTCCTGTATGCATTCCAGTTCGCATACAGCAACTTCAGCTGCGCAGTTTAGAGTTTTCAAGGGGGTTTGTTGCTATTGTTGGGTAACGGGACTGAAATTTGATTGTGAATTTTTTTTTGAGACTGCTTGCCATTTCTGTGCTATCCACCACATGCCATGCAATTCACACATGCTGTCTGTTGGAACAAAGTGCTAAGGAGTGGGAAGATCACCCGATTGCAGGTTTTATTGTGATCCAGCATGCTGCGATGAAGATAGATACACTTTTGTTAGCAACAGTTCCTGGGATGTGTCTTGGAACAGATTAACTATTAAAGATGCCAACTTGATCTCCTGAAGTTTTGTAAGCTGTGCTTATTTCTGTGGTGCATCATCTTTTTTTCATACTGAATTTAGCTGTCTTTGGTTTTTTCTCATTTCTTTGCTCAAACATTCTGTGATTTAGCATGAGTCATTCTGTCTGTGTGGGAAAGGGCTGGTTTATTACAGGGTCCGTTCTTGAGTGGGGAGGGGGAAGGGTGGAATGTATTTGTGTTTTCTATGTGTTTGTTGTGGAAATGCATAAAACTTTTTTTTTTTCTTCTCTTTCTTTCCTCTCTTCATCATCTCATCTGTGTGGGTGAATGTTCCTGCAAACCCTTGGGGAACCTATAGAGACTTTTGGTATGCTCATTCCTTCGTTAGTGCCCAAAGTCACAGATGCTAGGAACAGTTTAAAGACGAGAAAAGCAAACAAGAATCACAATGTAACAATGTAAAGTGGCTAAAAATGTGCACTTGTGGAAAACTTCTAAGTCATCATCTAATAAACCTATTTGTTTACATCATCTCAATAATACCAGTGGTCACTATTATCCAGTTGGTGTAAATTTTGATTCTGCACTTGAAAAGTAGAAATTAAATGTATTGTCCTGTAGCAAGAGCTAATGTTTTGTGATTGAGATATAAATTTCAAAAGTACCTCTCCTGTTTCAGTCCTATTTTCAGAAGTGACTGAAGTGTATGCGCTTAAGTTGCCTAAATTCTATTGGAAGTCACCTGCTCAAATGTGTTGTGGTATGCCCAGGTGACCTCTGAAAATGGGAACCAGGCACAATGTGACCCCCTTTCTTAGTAGGAAGGAAATGTGATTCTAATAAGACACCAAAGAATATGAAATTGTTTTTGAAAGGTAGTGATTTTAAGATCAATTAATGCCATTAGGTAGGTTCATTTTGAACATACGTGTTCAATGCTGCTTTCCAAGAAAAAAAGAGCAAAAGTAAAGTAGAATAAGGTAGAAGTTTTGTTGAAGGAGAGCTTGTGGCTTATTGGTATTCTAGAAATGAGATATTTTTCTCATGCTTCCACACTTTGAATATTTCCAGCTGGATCATATTTTTTTCATGTACAGCATTCTTTATTCCATAAGTAGAACAGGGACAGAGATGACTACATGTAAATGTCATTGTATATTTTTATAAATACTGTGTAATTTAATTTCAGTGCAAAATATGTGGAAACTTAAAAATATTTATTGATGTGAACAATGGAGATAACGAGGGGATAGTTAAAACCTTTTTTTTTCATGTTATTACTGTACATGAGACCAATTATTTCATGTTTTGGTTGTGTTATATAATGTTAAAGTTAATGTTCATTTCTAAGCTACAGCCACTTCAGTTTGAAGGCTCATCTTTTTGGTAATCTTAATGATCATCTTAAGCTTTTTCTTGGAATTAAGAAAAAACAACTTCCATGCTACATTGACATAAATTGATATTTACAAAGCTTTATCAATCGTCATCACTTTATCAAGCCTTCTCTGTTCTTCTAATGGAAGAAGGATTGTTGGGCATGAATTTGGATGTTGTTAGCTTCCCTTTTTTGTGTTGAGAAATTATTTCATGCCACAGGAAATCCTGTCCTTTTCTCAAATTAGGATCATTAAAAGTCATTACATGAGCAACCCCTGTGATTTAAAAACAATGGAAATATTTTCCCCACACAGGACAAATATGTCAAACATTTTACTGATTACCCTGCTAAAATATTGTTAACTCTTATTGAATTTTAATGCCAATTTTAAAAAGTTCCTTTAATATAAACTGTTTTTCTTACGCTGCTTACCATAAGTTTAGGGTAATAAATATGTTCCTCCTCTGTGATATTGCTTGTTTCTCTTAAAATAAAATTACAGGGTGGATATCATGCTTTAAACACTTTCTAACCCTGAGGTCTGCCTGAACTTTTGACAATTTTTCTGAAATTTCCGTTATATTGATGCTGCTCCATCAGAGCCAGTGACAGTGGAAGCCATAAACCTCCCTTGAGTATTTTGTGATAGTTGAGGCCCATAGCACACTTGAGAGGAGGGGGAAGGAAGGAAAACAACAACAACAAAAACCCCCACAACCAGTCTTCTCCAGGGCTGCCATTGCTTTTACTGCTGCTGTAACTGGACCTGTAATAGAGGCGTGATAAGAGAATTTTTGAAAAGTTCTCTGTGTAGATGATAGTATTCTCTGTCAAGTACAAATATGTTCCGATTGATCAGATGATTGTTTACAACCCCTTATAAACCTAATTTTTTATGACCATCAGAGGGTAAAATACAGTTGCTAAAACATATATTTCTAGATATTGACCAGAATAATATTGGCGCATTGCTGAGTATTTTTAGAAATTGCTTGTGGCAGAATATCGCAGTACAGAAAGTCCACTGTTATTAACGTTATATTATGTAAAATGATTCAGAGAACACAAAAACAGAATGATATTTTCTTCTTGACTCTGTGACTCTTTCAGAACCACAGCAGTGTCTGAAACACCTCCCGTTTATGACTGCATTAAGCAATCTGCATTAATCTGGCTGATAATTGATATTCAAAAATAGAACAGCTGAAAGATGATCTGAACAAAATATGTTGGTGCACATTTTAAACAGTCGTCCAGAAGTTTACAATTACACATTCCTTTAATTTCAATGGAAAATCAATATTAAAAATATATTCTCTGACTGTGGGCATGCCTAATGTGCAGTGTCGTTGTAGCCCTGTGCTTTGTCTTTGCTTGCTTATGCTGTCCATTTGGTACTTGAGCTTGCAAACAGCCTTTAAATGAAGGTGATGGGGGGGAAAGCAATGAGATTGACATTACGCTCAATCAGTTGAAAGAAAATGTAACTTTTATTTAACAAAACTAGATTAAAAAAAGAATCTGTCTTTGTGGAATGGCTATTTGTAAATGTCAGGTGTTTGTGGTTTTTTTCCCAGTCAAATTAAGAACATCTTACATCACCTTAAAGCCTGCTTGCGTATACAGTAATGTGAGTTATTAGAGCTGATGTAGTTTAAGTAATTTGCCTAGAATGATGTAGATACTCCAGAAAGCTTAGAGATCACCTGGAGATATTGTAGAAGTTCTAGAGGCATTGATGCTTGCTTTCATACATGGTGAAAATAGCGTATTATAAGCTGAAGAAATAAGTTGATAATGAAGTTTACATATTTTGTTAACAAAGCATCTCCATCGCATCTGGGATGAATTACATTAATTAAAATGCACTTGTTTTTGTCTGTTTTCAGTGAAAGAGTTTCTAGCCAAAGCCAAAGAAGACTTTTTAAGAAAATGGGAAAGCCCCCCTCAGGTATCAGTCATTTAAGCATTCAATAATTTTCTCTATTGCATTTTTTTGGATGACATTATCAGTGTGTTGTCAGTCTGTAATGAGCAGCAGAGACAACAGAAATCAGTTTAATGCAATTTTTAAAGGAGTTGCCATTATAATGCCAGTTTTGTCATTGAAGTTCATCAGCAAAAACTCTCGGGTCTTCTCCAGATTTGAGCTGATGAAATGCTCATACTGAACAACAGTCTTTTCTTATGGAGAATGATGTTCACCGCCAACATAAGATTCAAAATCTATTGGCATGTTTTAGCTGGCTTTTTATGGCACAGAGTGTTGGCACGACTGTAATTTACCCTTTAATAATTTCCCCCATGATATTAAGGGGGATTAAGAGCATTAAGGCTACTGCATGGGGCTTGAGGGCAGGTTAAGGAGCTTGTTAGAGAGAAATCTTTTCAAAGTTGAACTTGAGGGTTTGGGGTTTTGGGAAGGGTCATTGTTGTTTTTAAAGCAGCATTTGAAATGTTATGGTAAGGAATATCTGAGAAAACTTACTCAGTGATATGCTGTCCAGACAGCTGTCATGTAGAACTGTCTCTAGAGCTTGGCATTTTTTGCATGTTCTAATATTCTTGTTTGTGAAGCATGAGGGGGTTATTTATCTGCATGTTAAATTCATGATCTGTTTATTGCTAAATGTTTCTTACTAAGCATGTGTCATCTGTATGGACAGATTATAGAAGTGTTGATACAATTCAGTTAAATCTCTGTTTTAATGAGTGCTGTGTAAAATCTCTTATTAAAATTTGCCAGACATGAAATTGTAACAGCAGTATAGCTGGCTATAGTTGTCTTTGATAAATGTAATTTTACTCAATTTTCTTTCATAAATGAATTCAGTTCATACAGTTAAAATTGTCTTTGGGTGTTAAATTGCAAATAATGTCGTTATATCCTTGTGTATGTAGAATACTGCTGGCCTAGATGATTTCGAGAGGCAAAAAACGCTTGGAACAGGATCATTTGGGAGAGTCATGATGGTGAAACATAAATCCACAGAACAGTATTATGCTATGAAGATACTGGACAAACAGAAGGTTGGTGTAATTTATAGTGGTTTTTTTGTGGTACAGAAAGGTTTGATGTAGACAAAGATCTGGTAACTGTGGCTGAACTTGTTGCACCTATGGTGCTTTTTGGCTTATCGCATTTGAATGCTGGTGATGCTTTAAGCAGTTCACTTTTTTAGCCAGCAGATTCAGTTGTTGGGATTGTGTAAAAGTCTTACGACAGCCAATGACATTAATGGCAGGCTAAAGAGGCTCTAAGTAGTGTCCGAGGCATTAATAAAACGTCAGCAGTGAAATTCTTTGCTTAGATTTTGTAAGGTGGCCTATATGTTCTTTGGCAAAAGGAAAATGTAGTGCTGTAGTTAAAATAAATAAAGAAATAAATACACTTTTGCAGGGTAGCTTAAAATTCTGGAAGACCCTTAGGACCAGAAATTCTCAAAAATTTCATTTGTGAACCATAATTTAACAAATTGTTTGCACGAATAACTGGTTTTCCATTCTTGATCCCATGAGGTATTACTTTTTGTATGCATAATTATATAATAATCCTGTTGCATCTATAGTAACTGCATAGATAGAACAGTAGTGTCTCTCTCAGAACAGCTGTAACACAATAGACTTTCTGTGTTGAAAACTTAAGTGCTGTAGTCTGAATCTGTATTGTTACTCCAGCCTGATTTTTTTTTTTATAACAGCTTGTTACTCTTAGATTAATTAAGTGGTCTCATTTGATAAAGTTTAAATTTTAAATGAAATAGAATTCCAGAATTCTTAGAAATATTTTTCAGCAATTTATCAGTACAATTAGTTTTTTAATGGTTTTGACAAGTTTTTCAGAAGTACATTATTTAGATTAGTAGATTCTAAGGTCCTCTGTATAAGAGCTCTTCTTACTTTGTAAGGCACTATACTTAGCTTTGCAGCTGTATAAGAAAGATCATATTAAGAAAATATTAATCTGGCAAAGAGAACTTAATAATCAGCAACTAACAAAATGAAAGTCAGCGTTGCCCCAATGTGGACTCATGCACTTAAGCATTATTACATTCCCGAGTAATTTTATATAATGGAACTATGGCATTGACATAATCAAACCATTTTCCCTGAGTTGCAGTTCCAGTATTCTTCATTTGTGATTTGGGGTCCTGGACCTAGAATAATGTGTCATTCAATTAAAGACTGCTTTATAATGATCAGACAAGAAGAAGCTGAAGTAAACTTACCTTTTAGTGTCAATTCTGGCATTATTTTTTTTTACTTGGAAAAAGGTCGATTTTTTTGCAACTTCAGCATTGTGCTATAACAATGGTTTTTAACTTTTATTTAAAAAAAAAAAATATCCAATTTAATAAAAAGAGATTCCAACATAGTACAACTGAAAGAGCCCAGACTATTTCCACCCGTGTGGAAACTTACCTCACCATTACCTCAGTATGGCTGGTGGCATCCTGCAGGGAGCATTGCAGTAGCACGAGGTGTGAATAGCATCCCACTGCTACATGGAGAGCCCATCATCAAATTTCAGATTTTCAGCTGATTTTTCAACTGGTTTTTTTTCTTTGAACGCTTTTTCATGAATGGCTGCGTCCTTGTCACTGGAGCAATTTAGGAAATTACATCTTACTTCAGAAAGCTGCCATAAAAATAGGCTGAGGACTTTTTTTTTTTTAAAAAAAAATTTAATTAAACTTATTTCTACTTTTCAGCCTAAAATAAATTGGAAAGCTAGACCTGTAAAATTATCTGGTAAAAGCAAAAATTCACATTTTTAATGAAGGCAGTGGACTTGCAGTAAAAAATTCACAGGGTTAAAGATGTTTGCATCCAAGTATCAGTCTTCTATTAGAAAATTAGATTATTCTGTCTATAATCAGAAGTCTGAAGTGTTCCTTTATGAAATACGTGCTTTTTTCAAGTTGACAGCATATATAATTATATATTTATGTATTTTGTTAGAAAGATATTAGTGTTCTGTTAGCATCTTCTATTAATTGATCAAACAATAGGAGATGGTTTAGGGAGAACACATTTCTATCACTTTGTCTAATTTCAGACTCTGTATGTTTTCTATAATAGACAATGTGCAGGCTGCCTGTAATTTTTCATTTACATTTCACTTGAAACGAGAGAGCATATTGTGTGTCCCTTTATCCAATCTTATGCTTGGTTTATCAGGATATGAAAAAAAAAAAAAATGTAATAGATGTAGCCGGTAGTTTCGTGTGCAAGGTTGTTATTCCTTTATTTGTCTGCCTTGATTAGGAAGGCTGTAACATAACATTTCTTGGCTAGTTTCATTACGTAATTGGTTTTGGAAAAAAAATATTGTTAATAAAAACTCAGACACAGGCAAGCCGTTGGAGAATCTGCTGTTACGAGACATCATTTGATCTACAGGAAGCTGTCATTGGACATGCCCTGAACTTGAGCTTAAATGAGAGCAAAGCTGTGTTAGCTGAGGCTCCAGTTTGATTTTATGAAGTGTTAAACAGCAGCTTCAGCCTGTGGTATTGGTGCCATCAACCTCTAAACAGCAGAAGATGCAGGAAGGGTGGTAAAATCTTGTCTAGCATTGCAGCTGAACGCTTCTCAAGATGAAATGAAGACCTTAGCTTGCTTGCTTTGATGGCCAAGATGGTTCCAGTACCATAGCTTTTCAGGGGTGAAAGGGACAATTTCCACAAATGAGCTGATTTGAGCAAAGTTTTTATTTGGTTGCTAAAGGTCCATGATTCAAAAGAGATTTCATATTTTTAACTCAATATTTCTTTTGTATGATACTTATTTCAAAACATTATTGGGGTTTTTTTATAGATACTACCTTTTGCATCTAAAGTTGAATTTAAACATAGTATCGGTCAGGGTTGGAATATTTTGGTTATTTATAACAGTTAGATTTGATTTCCGAACATGTAAAACCAGACTTGTTTTGATCACTTTTGTACATTTTCTCCTTGTTTCCTATGAAAAAAAAAAAAGTAACTTTACTTGGAAATCATGCCACTCTGAAAATGAGATATAGATAAATTGTGCAATAGGGATTAAGTAAAATGGAAAGAATCAATTGTGCAATGTTGGGGTTTAACACAAGGAAACCAATTATTAATTACTGAGAAAGAGCAACGATCAGAAATCTGCCACTTGCTGCCTTGTTAGCAGCTTAACATTATAGTGTATTCCAAGAAGGTAGCATTTAATTTTTTTTAGTACTTTTGCTAAATGTTTTGCTAAGCAGAGAGGCAAAACCCATTGAAAGGTCTGGCAGAAGTAACTATTGTTTGTAACGATGGAAATTTTGAATTTGTATTTTCCTTAGTCTTTTCCTCAGTGTGTGAGCTATGTGAAATAAGTCTGTTTACTCCTGTTCACACATAACAAAATTTATAATGAAATGTGTCTGACACAATTTCCTGCCGTTCTCAGCAAAGGGTGCAAAGATCAAATGGATTTTATTGAACTGTCATCTTGCTGCAGAAGTATCTCCATTACAAACGCAAGCAATTCTTAAGAAAATGTAAAGAGATGTCTTCCTTGCCGATGCCTATATTCAACATGTAATAAGAAACACTATTTCTAGAGTTATCTGCAAACCATATTGCATGAGTATTACTCTTTAAAATGTCGTTAGATTTTTTAATCCATTCTCAGTGCTGTTATTGTTATTGTACTAGTAATCCATAAGGTTTTTCATTATCTGTAAAGTTACAAGCTCATTTTCAAGTAACTTTTGCACTGAAAAAATGATCAACTATAAAATGTCATACTTAAACTGAAGATTCTTTTTTCTCTCCTAGGTCGTCAAACTGAAGCAAATAGAACACACACTGAATGAGAAGAGAATATTACAAGCAGTGAACTTTCCTTTCCTTGTAAAACTGGAGTATTCTTTTAAGGTGATCATTATTTTGAAAGTGGTTGTGTGGGTTTCAGGGAAGCGCGTGCTCAAACTTTAAATAGTAAAGCATTTAACTTCTATAATACAATAGTTTTTTTGTTTTCAAAGATGCTTCACTTGGCACTATTGCCAGATCTTGAGCAGGAGTGTCTGCACCTGTGTGCACACTTGCACACACCTCAGTTCACCAGGTGATGATTGAAAGAATATCTCCAAATAAAGAAATAAAAGTTAAATTTAACTCTTAGAGATTTCCCTTTTTGTACAGCAGGGAGCTTTTAGGCATCAGTTGGACTTTGAGAGAAACCAAAGGATGTATTTCTCTACCAATATATGGAATACTAAATTTGTAGTTGTTGTGCAAATATTTCCTTGAGAGTTATACCTGAGGCAGGTTTTAATGACAATCTTAACCATGAAGGAAAGAACTTTGAGGTTAGCGTCTAATTTCACGACAGTATGTGCTAGTCAGTCTGTAAAGAAATAAGTATTTTGCTAATTTATAGTGTTATGTGTCCTCTATATATCTCCTTTTTTTTTTTTAATACCATTTAAAATCAACAAACATGTTCTATCTTAATCTTTACAGTTTTGAGATTTGGGGCTGGGGCTGTAGGAGATGAGAATACCTCAGGCTATCAATTCTGAAATTTGAAGGGCGCAAGGTCTTGTCTTGCAGTAGGCATCTTATGCTCTCTTCCTTCAGGTCACCTGCACACCATTCTGTCTGAGGAACTCACTAATTATCTTTATTGAAATTTACTTTAAAATGTATTTCTTGAGATACGTGATGTTCCTTTTGTCCTGCATGTCTGCACTTTTTCAAGAATTTCTACGTGTGTTGCATTATATTTAAGTCATTGGGTGGCTACAATTTTTCATTTTCATTCTTTTATAAAAAAATACTCTATGTACAAATTATGGAGACTATAGGATGCCTAATATGCATTTGTATGTGTTTACTTGCTTCCTTAGGACAATTCTAATTTATACATGGTAATGGAGTATGTTCCTGGTGGTGAAATGTTTTCACATCTAAGAAGAATCGGAAGGTTCAGGTAAGAGTATTAATGACATTATTCCTTTAAAAAGGCTTATGTTGTTAATTTGGGAAGAGGGTTTTATAAAATTTGTTAGTATTGAAGAAAAAATTCTGAAGGGGTAACTGCATTTAACTTACCCATCTTTCAGTGGATGTAACTAGTCAGGCAATGAAAATCTTGTAATTATTTCTTATTTTTCAGTTAGTTAATGCAGGCACTTGTGATCTATGCAGGATAGAATCTTAGAATTCCTGTGCATATTGTCAGTGAAATTGATGATAGTTTTTAAAAGTAAAATTTAAAGTCTAAGCTCTGTATTGTGGGATATGTTCATCGTGATTGCATGTGTATTTTAGCTGCAAGACTTAAATTTAGGGAATGTGTGTATCAATTCTAAAATGTTTGCTGTTTGCGCTTTTTTTTCTCTTGTTACACAGTAAAAGAACCAGTTAAAAGATACTTAATTTGTCTATCCCTGGCAGTTACGTGGTTGTTTCAGTATCTTAGCATAGCATTGGGGTACTTAATATTCTTTTAATTCTTCACAGTGAACCACATGCACGGTTTTATGCAGCTCAGATAGTGCTAACATTTGAGTACCTCCATTCATTAGACCTCATCTACAGAGATCTAAAGCCTGAAAATCTTTTAATTGATCAGCAAGGATACATCCAGGTATGATATTCTTCATATATTTAGGGAGTGGAGTCTTGTCTTATGATGTAGGTAATTCTAGCAAATGCATTTAGAATAAATGGTCTGAAGCTGGCTGGCATGTTAGCATGTATTCAGGGAGCATTAAAATGCCCTACTGCTTACTAATGGTTAAAACCGTTGGATTGCACTTCCTCTGACTAAAATTAAGTATGCACAATGGAGCTGTCTGCAGTTGAGCGAGTTGTCAAGGTTTTCCTTGGGGTCTGTGGTGAAAAGTAGGTGATTACATGTCTCTGTTCATCTGACCTATTTTATACCTCTGCCCTAGAACAAGATGAAAGTGCCTTAAAATGTCTGGTTCTCTGTATTGTCTGTATAAGTAGTTTAGGATAACCAGCTTAGATATCAACGCCGACACTATAGTACTTAATTTCAGTCAGATGAATCCCACCCTTGGAGAGTCCTAACCTTCACAGTGCATCTGGAGTAAGAGCTGAGTTGAGATCAGATCAGAATTGCAGTGCTGCAAGTAATGACTTCGTTTTTACAGCAGCCTCTCACAGCACCTCCTCATCTTCCTTTTTGCTGTTATGTTTTGGATCTAAATGGCAAATGGGAAGGTGGTATACAGGAACAAGCAGTTCTTAAAGTATGGAAGCTCTTCTTTCCTCAGTGTGTCACCTTTTGCCATAGCAGAATCTAACAGGAAAATACATAATAAAAATGTTTGAGTGAATTGGAAAAGACTAATATCTTATCTTGTTTATAACTGTAAAACAATTTTGCATGGAGAATAAAATAACCCTATAGGTAGAAGAGAAATGCAAGTTCTATTAATGTGGTTGGAGAGCACCAGTAACGTAAAGCTGTGAATGGCTTACTCCAGAATCGGTGACTCTCACTATACAACAGTATGTTTTTGTGATGGTGGGCAATCTGCAAATGATAACGGGTCCAGCAGTCACTCTTCCCATGTGAGGCTGGTTTGCTTCCGCTTCTGAAGAAAGAGACGGGGTTGTGTTCATATGTTCATGCTGCAGCTCCAACTAAATATTGTTTAGAAGCTCCGTTCATTTTCTTTTTGAATTTTAAAGCCATTACCGTTTGTCCCATGTCTACAGTGTACTTTTCTTACATAGACTGATATGCATTCACAAACACAGAAATGATTCTTTGCTGACTGAAGCAGGTCTGTCTAATCAGCACGTCACCCTCTCCATTCAGGTCTAGCTGTGATTGCTGCTGTTTCTTCCAAAAATGAAGCAAAAGCTGCCTTGAGAGTTTGGAGTTTGGCTTGTTTAATTGTGACATTAGTGTATCAGAAACATCAGCACACGTTATTGTATAATTAGCAATGATTATCATTGTGGTACGCTATGTTTTCTCAGGGAATAGGTTGAAAGTGATACCAAGAAGGAGGAAACAAAACAAACAGATCCCCAAACAAGCATAGACTTGATAGCTTGAAACTGATCCCAGAATTTCACATGTAACTCCCTGATCTCCATATGTATTCCACAATACAGTCCAGGAAAAATCACAGAGAGGATGATATTGCATACAGAGTTCTGAAAACTTACTGCAGAAAATAGGACAAGTGGAATGAAGAATTTATAACGGCCAAGAATTTGCCATTTGTGAATACATTTACCCCCCCAGTCCTCAAGTAAACAAGCTTGACTCTGGTGCTGCTTTCAAGGATACTCAGAATCAGAAGTTACTGGAAGACCTCTTTTATGTTGTCTTATTCCCACACTAATTTTACATATAACCTTTATACACTTATGCAACAAAATTCTAAATTTACAAGACTGGCAGATATCTTGACCCTTTTTGTGATTTGTTTATTTGTTAACTAAAGGAAAAGATAAATATCTTGTTCATATTCACGTTCTTTAAACTTTCAGCAGTATAAACAGTCTGACGTGAAAAGCATAAGAAAAATGATTAATGTAATTGCAGTATATGTGGAAGATTAGTAAGCCATAGTTCCCACTGATTTTTTTAAATTATAAATAGGAGCTTGTGTTGGGGGGAGATACATACTTTGTGTTATTAATTTTATCACAAAAACCTATATATCTGAATTAGTAGCCAGTCCTTTTGATACTTCTAAAGGTACATATGACTATATGATACTACGTGATATGAGAGACAAATTTTTCCTCTGTATAAAATAGCTTTCCAAAATATTTCAAAAGTACTTCATTTTAAATTTTGTTATAGAAATGCACTTACAGTCAATTTATTTCTTCTGATGACAGGTCACGGACTTTGGCTTTGCAAAAAGAGTAAAAGGAAGAACTTGGACGTTATGCGGGACTCCAGAATATCTGGCACCTGAAATAATTCTCAGCAAGGTACTCTGTCTTGTCATTCAGTCGTGCATTTGATGCAATAAAACTTATCACCCAATTATTAAGCTCTGAGGGATAAACGATTACTGATACTTCCAAAATCTTGACTAGTCAACTCCTTATGAATTACACAAAATGCAATTGTTGCATTGTAAATATGTTTTAGTATACTAAAACTTACTCCAAAGTGTGGATTTTCACATAACTGCACAGAACTTTCAACATATGCTTGCCATGTAACTTGTGAGGGGAAAAAGGGACTTAAAGAATCTGTAATTAGGTTATTTAACTAACATCCTTATCAGAACAGCAGATCATAGAATCGTAGAGTCATCTAGGTTGGAAGGGACCTTTAAGATCATTGAGTCCAACCATCAACCTAACACTGTCAAGTCCACCACTAAACCATGTCCCTAAGCACCACGTTGACCCATCTTTTAAATACCTCCAGGGATGGCAATTCCACCACTTCCCTGGGCAGCCTGTTCCAATGCTTGATAATCCTTTCAGTGAAGAACTTTTTCCTAACATCCACCCTAAACCTCACCTGGTGCAACTTGAGGCCATTTCCTCTTGCCCTATCACTTGTTACTTGGGAGAAGAGACCCACACCCACCTTGCTACAACTTCCTTCCAGGTAGTTGTAGAGAGCGATGAGGTCTCCCCTCAGCCTCCTTTTCTCCAGATTAAACACCCCAGTTCCCTCAGCTGCTCCTCGTAAGACTTGTTCTCCAGACCCTTGACCAGCTTTGTTGCCCTTCTCTGGACATGCTCCAGCACCTCAATGTCTTTCTTGTAGTGAGGGGCCCAAAACTGAACACAGTATTCGAGGTATGGCCTCACCAGTGCTGAGTACAGGGAGAATATCCTTATCATTTATGGAGCTGCTTATGATAGAAACTATCATAATGCATAATGTTAAATTATGCATTTAATATGCGGTTTAATTAAATCCCCTTGCAGGTCTTTAAAAGTAAACTTAAAATACTTTTATTTGGGGAGAAAATGTTCATTGTTTTCTGCCTTTTTGCCCTTATGCAGCTAGAGCAGCGGAAGAAATTGCAATGTGTCTACTACAAACTCTCCATAGTAGATTTTTCAGGAAAGACTGAGTCTTAGCCCTGAGCTTTGTAAAGATCTCGGAGAACATATATAAAATTGATAGAGTTGGTGGAGTTTTCTGTCTTTTTTAATATTAAATAGGATTTACTAATGATTTTATGTTCAGGCTTTAAAGATCAGATCATAAATGACTTTATAACAGCTAATAAACTAAACTTTTAAGCTCTTGTAGCTAGTTTACTAAATATGAAAATGAATGTTCTGAAATGTGGATCATCAAGCAAGAAGATGATGGTATACAATATAGGAAGTGTTGTTATAGTTAACGAAATTTCGAAGATGTGAAAAGTTTCAATCATTCTGTAGCAAGATAATTTTGACTTTAAGTAACTAAATAAATTGTGCTTGTTTCTGTCACAGAGAGTTTTGTCACATCATTGTAAAGACATCACTGAAACAGCACAGGAATGTGTGCAAAACGTTTCACTTCCATCACTGTTTCACTCTTATCACTGTTTTAGGTTTTAAGTATATTGCTGTTGGAGTCTGTGAGCTTCAGTTTGGTTTGAACTAGGTTGTCAGTTCTGTATTAAACAAGCAATAATGCGTTTGCTTTCTTTGTATTCCACAGAGATGTACTGAAAATTTTATACTATGTTAGAAATGCACTAGCAGTGGTATTTCTCATTTTATCCAGGGTTACAACAAGGCAGTGGATTGGTGGGCATTAGGAGTGTTAATCTATGAAATGGCAGCTGGATATCCCCCATTCTTTGCAGATCAGCCCATTCAAATTTATGAGAAGATTGTGTCTGGCAAGGTGAGTGAAGGCTCTGTGTATTTTCACAAATGCAGTTGTTTGTCTGTGCATAACCTGTTTTTTGTGTGGAGTAGATACAAATTTGCTGGCTACTAGGCAGTGAGAATTTGGAAAGAATATGGGAAAAGTTTGTAATGTATACTACTTCAGTGCAGACATAGTTATTATAGTAATACCAAAATTCAGAGTTCTAAAAATCTGTTCCCTGCCTTCAAATTTAAAATGTAAGTTATTAAATTTACAGACATTGTGGTATTATATCCTTTTATGCTTGGATAAAAATGATCCAACAGCTAGTTAGCTGTATGCTTAACTAGCCTGGCTAGTTTATTTTCTATTTTCTTTTGAGAAGCTGGAAAGAGTTTCCATAATTCATGGTAGATTTCTTTACTCCTGCAGTCCTGTAGTTCAAGTCATGTCTAATGTTCTGTTCAGCTTTCATGGTTATATAAAATTTAAAAAAAATATTTCCAACTTTTCCCTTTTATTTTTCGTTAATATCTCTTAGCGTACCAGATAGCACAAAAATGGGATCATTCTGTTGTTTCTCCTTCTAACCAGTGTTGTCTCTTCATGTTTCTTTGTGCTTAATTGAGTTGTTATGGTTCTTCTCTTCCTTGGCCCTACATAAACACGTGCTGTGCTGCACCTTACGCACTTCTGTAATTCTAATCAAAGGAAGTGCCTCAGTAGGCCCTGTGGTTCACTGCAATGAGAGACATTCCTGTCTAGGACCTTACTTGAATCAAGAAGGTGGTTGAGGGCTGTGATACTGTGACCCTTCAGCTGTCTCTGTGAATATATGGGACTTCATTTACAAAGATACATTTTTAGAGAAGTTATTTACCTTTGAAACTAAAAAAAACTTGGGCATTTTTTTGCAGTTGTATCTAATTTGTTTGAGATTTATACTGTTGATCGTGTGCCTTCTTTACTGAGTCCATGGATAGATGGTTGCAGAAACAGCATGGGACTTGAACTCTGGAAACTGTAACATTCACTTCTCAGCTAGCAGTATGTTTACTTTATAACATGAAGCCTTTCATTTAATTTACCCCATGCACTTAGTTCTCTACTTAAAAAAGGAGTTGATATTTCCTTACTTCACAACTGTCTAGGTATTACATTCATCAAAACCTGTAAATTTCTCATGTTCTACAATAGAGCCATATTGACAGGTAAACTGAAGCAGTGTCCTTGATTATTAGACCTCTTGATTTTGCAACATCTTTTTATGTTGAATAATTCCATATTCTGCACATACATTGTAACTGATAGCTAAATACAGGGAGTGTCAAATGCTGAGACTACAGGCATGACAGATACAACTTTTTGCCTGTACTTTTTCCCCTTTTCTCTCTCGTCCATCTCAAATGGTGTCAGTAGATCTTTTGCTAGTAAAACCCTATGAAATTACATCCCATAAATCACCTTCAAATATTTGTTAGCCAGGTTTGAATTAATTGTATTGGCAAGTCACTCGTGCTATCTTCAAATAGTGCTGTGTTATTTATGTAAGACTTTCGATGTTGGTGTATTTAGTTATAAGAAATGGGTTACAGTACAGCATAAAGTTCCAGATTGAATTTTCACATTATTACTGAATGTTCAGTTATTTCAAAGTAATCTATATATTTATATGCTTTATATATGCTATACTATACTGTATCTCTGGTGTGCGTGTGTATAATATAATCTAAAAATTTGTTCCTAGAAAATAGTTGAGAATGCTTTGAGATACCAAGTTAAATTTAGCTTTTTTGTCATTATATTAAATTAATATTTTTCCTCAACTCAATCAAATCTGGAAAGTTTCAGTTCGAAAAATGGTAGAGACACAAGGTAGTGCTATTGATAAAGGCTCTGTGAAACAGAAATACACGTGCAACAATAATCATCTCTCTTTTCATGCATTCCTACTTGATTGGTTTTTAGAGGAAGAATAGAAAACGGCCCTAATGTTTCCTTTTGTGTGAACACTGTTATATTTCACAGGGCAAAGAATCAAATTTGTGTATTGTTTTTAATGTTGTTGGATGTGTATTTTTAGGTAAGGTTCCCATCACACTTCAGTTCAGACCTAAAGGATCTTCTAAGAAATTTACTCCAGGTAGATTTGACCAAACGATACGGAAATCTCAAGAATGGTGTAAATGACATAAAGAATCACAAGTGGTTCGCAACTACAGATTGGATTGCCATTTATCAGAGAAAGGTAAGACCCTTTCTGATCAAAACTATTACACATCTTCAAGGGGTTGAAGCAAAATTTCTAATTATTTTGCTTATTTTTGCTTTCCTAAATCTGTCACTTTAATTAAAACTAAGAAAAGGTGAAAGTAGTTTAATCTTTAACACTCTGAAGATTTTATATTGATTGAATTATGTTTGTTTCTTGTTGGTATTTTATCCTGGACCTCTGTGTACGGTCACAGTCTCTTAACAGGTGTTGTGCTTTAGTCTATTTCTGGAATATCTCAGAATGAGCCATCTCCTGCCTCTCTCACTTTTTATTTAACCCCCGCTATAGTGGCAGCTATAAATACTCCTCCACAGCAGAGAGGAATCTGTTTTCCTTTCCAGCTAGTTCTTAGCACTCAGACTGTGCTTCAGTGGGGCGGAGCTCTAGCCGAAGCTGGAGCTTCTGTTTTTCTACTAAAGTAGTATGCTCCCTCCTTCTTGCTCTTGCTTCATCTGTGATTGGGACAGGATCAGATGTAGAAAGTGTCTACTGAGGAGTTTTTGCCTTCTGACACTGCACTTTATTGACTGCAGTTCCATAAGCTGCAGTAATGGCGAGGGCCCTGCTTGAATGCTGTTTTCTGGCATTTTTTAGAATGGTTTTCTAGGCCTGCTTGACCAACGTGACTTGCAGTGTGGTTTTTAGAAAGTCCATGCCCAATTTGCACTATGAACTTCAGACTTCCATAAGAATGAGAGCAACAGAGAACTGAGAGTATTTTCAGAGCACAAGCATCCATTATCATACTGGTTTGAGAGGAGCACATTAGTAGCTGCCAGAATGAATGAAGCAGAGCTGCAAGAGGAAACTGGGGAAAGGGATGGGGATGATGACAATTCAGTCTAGGTCTGTCTCCCTCTCCCCTTCAAGGTAGAGTCCAAGTTAAGTAGCTGTATATTAGTGAGTTACTAGAAGCAGATTCTTAAGAAATTATTTGTTCTCTCAGGTGCAACCTCTGAATTCCTGTTTTTTCAACAGACAACAATAAAAGACTAAAATAACTTCATTGGTGTTGTCCCAGAAGACTCAGGTGGAGAAATGATTTTGTGCCTAGATATTGTTAAAAAGGTTAGAGTCAAGCGATAACATTTCAAGGAATTGCTTCACATTGTTGAAATGATTGTCTTGATTGTAGAGGCATGAACTTGCTGCTGTAACAGCAGTATTTTAAAGGCCAAACCTAAATACTAACAATAGTTTCTAAAAAGAAACTGGTTGTTTGGCTACACAAACTGACAGTACAGTTGTTGTAGTATTCACTAATGTATTAATTACTGGAAGACAGGGTACAATTAACACATCTTGTATTCTTTCGATTAAGTATAGATGTTTTAAGAAAAGATTCCCCATTGCAGAATTGTAATTATCTGTTCTTTGCTTTCTTAATGCCTGTTTACAGGGCAGTTTCATGTGCACTGAGTTTCATTCCCCAGTATGCTGTTTGGGGACACCCGGGCCCCATAATATTAAATCAGATGTTTTAACAGTGTGCTAAATATTTTTAGCATTGCTAGTGCACTGTTGTAGAGAATTACTTCCACAGAAACAAGAAATACTTTAAAATGTGAACTAGTAGTACAGTCAGAAAAGCTATTACTAGTTTTAAAGGACTGTGAAAACTAATGCTGAATAAGTTTGAAGCTTCTAATTATAAGGAATAAATACTGTGATACTAAGCAGTATCACATTTAAGCAGTCATAGAAATACAGCAATAAACTTTGGGTTTATCCCAGCTTTTTACGGTGGCTGTTACCACAGCGTGTATTTTCCTGAGTAAACGTGGTGTTCCTTGGCAGCTAATGCAATGGGAATAATTTGTTATGCTACAGTCAGAAGTGAACCAGTCAATTACTTAATATTTCAGATAGGATCAAGTCTTGTTTTCTTTTGTTTGTGTAGCTGTTTATTAAAATGCTGCCTGATAATATGATTGTACTTGGGGCCAAACAGGTATTTTTACTATAAACCAGTGTTACCTCCTGCAGTCTCTTCTTAGCGATTTCCTTAGAGAAGGTAATAGGAAAAAAGTCTGAGGCATCTCATTTGACTGTGTTTTAAAATTCCAGCAGTGAATAAAATATTTCTTGTGCTTTGAGCTTTGTTGTAAAGAAGTAATTGAAAATCAAATTGAGAAGACACAGAGACAGAATTCAGGTAATGGTAAATGTGTGGCTTTGTCGGCTAGGTATATACACAGACTGTGTACTCTCTCGGGATAAATCACCTAAATGCATATATTGTTTTAGGAACAAAAGGATACACACGTGACAATTGTAGCACAATCTATAAATGCAGAAAATGTTATTTCTTGGGGGTGTATAGCGTTATCACCCAAAATCAGTAGAGTTTAATTTGTATTAGTCTGTGCTGTACCTCTTTAAATTACTGATTGACAGCCCCCCCCCCCACTGTCAGTAATCTACCTGGGGCTCTGCACAGTTCCGTGGTTGCAGAGTATCTGGTGCCCTGCCTCGGCCGGAGCCAAGCCTGTCCTGCTTATCTGTCTCCCCACCGTGCTGCCTCTGGCACACATACTCCTTGGGGTGTCCCAGAGAGAGATACTTCTCTGATTACTTTGCATTTCCAGGTTTAAATTTGCATCACCTCAATAATCTTGTTTGCCATAACGGTGGATAAATCAGGCACCTGTCAAATGAAAAAGAGGAATGCAGTACTGATTATGGTGCCTCCAACTCCAGTTTGTCTGAGCCCGGTTTCAGTAGAGTCTCTCTCCTTTTCCTTGGTCTTCCATTCTCTCTCGTTCTTTCCTTACCATCCGTTCTTCATCTTTGCCTCCTGTCAACCCCAAACCTTCCTTATTCCGTCTTTCAGCATGCAGCTGATTCTAAAATTTAGGTTATTTTAGAAAGTAATTAAGCTTAATTTTGAACTTTGAGGTGTGATAGACTAGAAGGATTAAAATTTGAATTGATACTAGCTCAGTGAAGGTGGAATTTAGTAGTCTGTTCCCTAAAATAGCATTTAAGTGTCTGCAAGTTGGGAACAGCTCCTATTTTTTTTTCTTTATTTTTTTTTCCCCCCGACTGAGTAGGGACAGCATAAGCTGTTAGCCAGTAAAAATGTAGTATGTCCCTGTACAGACCTGTGTCTTCATTTAAGGTCATCTTTATTTTAACTCCCAAGACGTGTAGAGGCTGAAGTGCACTTACTGGGACAGAAAGATTGAGACTGCTAAGTTGTAGCCAGACCCAAGGATTTTATTTTTAAGGTCAACCTCAAAAAGCTGCAGGTTCCCTCAGCTTTAAGCAGCAGCACTTAAGAGGGTCGTTGGAAAACACCTGGTTCCAGTCCCTGAGAGTGAATGGCTTACTACCATACAGGTGACATGAGATGCGCCGAATCTGAAGGCTAATTGAGTATATATGTGGATTTGAGAGGATATGCAGACATTCTTTACCAGACAGGGTTTTCCATCATTAATTAGAGCTGCACTGGCTTTCCGTACAATCATTTATTGACCCCTTTCAAGCCATTGCTTGTCTCCCAGTTGTGGCCTACTTTGGAGAAGGCTTTCACTTCCCGCTTCCAGTTAGGTCCTAGGAGGAACTTTGTAGAAGATGCAGAACAGATTGTTTTAAACTTGTATTAGGTTAGTTTTTATTTGCAAATAGAGGATTGTTGGTAAGTGGGAGGAGAGGGCTTCCAAACAGCCCTGAGATTTTTGAGTAGCGTTGATGGCAGTCAATCTACTTCTCCGCTTCTGCCATGACCGTGTGACTGTGAGACGCTGCCCTTGCTGCGCCAGGAGCTGCACTGCGCTACTGATGAGCTGAGAACAGGGCTTCTTCTGCAAGAAGAGAACTAAACTTTGTTTCGAAGTGGAAGTAATTTTTTTATTGATGTTTGTCTGTGAGATATTAGTCTTTTTCAACTTAGACTCCTACATCTAAGCTTGTACCTTCTTAGGCTGGTTTTACATATGTGCCACAACTTTAAGTTGGTTCACTGTAATATTGGTTTCCTTGGGAATATTGTTGTGCTCGTTATCACAGTGTTAAATCTAAAGATGTTAGGCTGATAACATTTCATGTGGCTTTTTTTTTTTTTTCCCCTCAAAAAATAGGTAGAAGCTCCATTCATACCAAAGTGCAGAGGTCCTGGAGATACCAGCAACTTTGATGACTATGAAGAAGAAGATATTCGTGCGTCTCTAACAGAAAAATGTGCAAAAGAATTTGCTGATTTTTAGTAGGCGTAAGAGGACAAGATGACATCAGGGCTCACATTGGGATCTTTGCACTCTCTTAACAGATGAGGTGGAGCTGAGACCATCATATGTCAAAACAGTTACCTAGTTACTTCATTCCACAAAGCTGACTGAGGTCTTTATTGCCATCTTCCATGTGTGCAGTTTGCACCAACCCTTCTAACTAGGCACAATTAAGCAAGCACTGTTTGTGCAGTAACACAGAATAATAGACCACTTTCCTACTTAACTTTGGTTTCTGTCGTTCTTTGTTTCTGTGTATTGTTCATTTTCCCCATTTAAAATGAAGTAGTTTTTTACCCAAGAATGCTCCATTTTATTTTGAATAATGTATTATTTGTGTGAGTGAAATGGAAGGTGTTGCGGCTAGTGTGATTTAGACTGAAGTGAAAGATAAATGTTGCTTCTAGTCTGTGCCAGCCAATAATTCTTGTCTGTCTTGTGTCTGATGCTACAATTTATAATAATTTTTTAGTAGCTCAGACTAAACCTAGCCAACATTTTTAGCATTTTTGAAGGTAGTATTTATCGCCATATAAATGTCTGCTAAATTAACTTAAAAACATTTCTTCCTGGAGACTGACCAAAATTCAGTAGAATCAATTGGATGGCTTACGTAGGGGACAGTAGCTAGACCCCGTGCCTTGGTTTTCTACATCCCTGCAGTTTTCGTCACTGCCTCCTTCCTTTGTATTTCCCACCTAGGCAGTAGGTAAATTGCCATAGCCAGACTGTACCGTGGAAAGCGTTCAGTCTCGTGAGAGGGAGTAATTCCACCCGGTCTGGATTATGGACCGTATTTAAGCAAGTCAACTTACCAGCATTTCAGTTGGCAGGTATGAAATGGCTTTTTTAAGAACATGAACCCTAAACTCTTAAAGGAAGTTTTGGTCAGTATTGTAGAGAATAAGATTCATTTTGATTCACTGGGTTTTTTGTGGGTTTTTTGTGTTGTTGTTTTTTTTTTTTTTTTCTTAAAAAGCCAATGTTTGGGCTCCCAAAGTATTCCTTGTTTTGAGCCTTTTTTGGTGAAAAAAGGCATCCATTAAAATAAAAACCACCACACCACAAAAAGCAAAATGCGCTCTGCCATTAGCTATGAAAAACAAATGGTTTAGCAAATGCAAAATAATGTTCTAGATGCATCGCTGGATGAACACGGTTATTTTTTTGTTAGCTGTTAAGAATAAGAGGTTATTGCCAAGTTTTTATTCTGGTATACTATATTAGTAAACTGAGGATGGAGTACTGCTACAATCATTTTCTCTTTAATTACAGCACTTCATTCATGAAGAAAAGAGACAAAGTTTAAAAACTGCAACAGCTGGGTTTGTTTTAGTTGCGTTGTGTCTTCATTTCTAACCTACTTTCTTTCAATCAAACAGAATGTATGGTCACACAGATATAAGTATTTGGGCTTAATTATGTTTTGTATACTCTCACCAACTGACTTAAAAGATACTGCTACCATGTGCTAGCTTTGGGCACTTTCACACATTTATTTCAATGTTAATAATCAGTGGCTCAGCACTTTTTTGGGGGTTGCTTTTAAACTTATTCATAGTAGTTTTATTTGTACACTTGATTCTGGCTGTCTCAGTGACCTGTCTTAAAACAGCACATCTAAACAGTTTAAACTAGACTCATATTTTATGATAAATTTACATGCATACAGGGATGAATTGTTTTTAAAAAAAATGAGCTATATTGATACATAGCCATTGTATTTGTTTGAATGTCAGCGCAAATAAACGGCTGGCATTCCTTCCTTTTAATCTGTATGACACTCCTTTAAGAAAAGCCTTTGTAGACGTTTTACAAAAGAGTATGAAACGTACCATCCAACATTCTGTATGTTTAGGTTGTTGAGCATTTTTGCACAACATCATTAGGAGGCTGACACTGAATGCAGTCTTTGTCCACCCATATTTACATATGTGCAAGAAAAGTATAAGATACTTTGCTGTAGCAAATTTTATGTAACAAAAATATATCGTCACATTAATAAATTTAAAGAAATCCTTTGTATGAAAATGTTAAAATCTTTTGTATTTCATTTAGACCAAGGACATGCTGCTGTATGCTAGCTGTATGCGATAAATTCTACAGTAACTTTGTTGTCGTTTATGAACTTTAAAAGATTTTAATAAATGTTGGAGATCACAATTTGATTCTGTTATGATTTTAATTTTTAATCATTGCATTTATAATTCTAGTAAGGTTCAGAGATTTTCTGTTTTGTAAAATACTGTAATCATTCATCTTGCGTGTACAATAAGACAAAAGTCTAGGAAATTGGTTCTGACGTGTCTGTCTGATATCCAGATTAAATTCTACGTGGGCATAAGTGGAAAAGTCATCTTAATGCCATGATATTATGCTATTTTTTAATTTTATGAAAAACCTGTTAGAAAGTAAAATACTTTTCCAATATGGCATAATAGACTTCAGTATGGAAATGAGATTCTATTTTGGAAAAGGAGGGGAAGTGTGCAATTTCCAAGGCATTAGTGAGTACATTTGACAATGTGAGTATTATACAACCCTCTCATTTAAACACAGTCATAAAATATAACTACAGAATATTATGTTACCTGTATTTAATTTGAAAATTCCTTTTCACAATATGGAAAAATTGTATATCTATGACAGTAGAAGCTTGTTAATTTTACACATTTGAGGAATTAAGTGTTGAACTATATGGTATATTTTAATTGTACTCTAGTTGTATGTAACTTTCATTTCCAACATAAAGGATTGTATCTCATTAAGTAAATTGCTTTTTTATTATCTTGTCAGTTGCATTAAAACCCTTATTTTTAAATCCTTTAAAGTATTTTACTAATTTTTGCAAATAATTAGATGTTTTTAAGTGCTGCAATAGTGTGCAATATAGTAAACATTTATATACAGAAGTGCAAATTAAATTATGTACAACACTTGTGCTGCTTCTTTGTGAATCAGAATGTTGTATGATGAGAGTCGTTCCATCTCCCCACACACTGCAAACAGGGGTCGAAAGCAAGAGGAAAAGGTTATGAAACATACCGCACGCATTAGTTGGGACACGTTAAGCTTTACACTAACTAGGGTGTTCGGAGAAGATGGTGTGGAGAACATCAAAGGCATTATGAGAAGTCAGTGAGTTGGACTTCTTAGACAGTCAAAGGCAAGCAAGGTGATCACTAGCTGCAGGATTGTTTGTCTTCATATTTTCACATTCAGACTCGATGCTTTTTATTAAAGATAATTGCCTGGTTTTAAACTGTCTGCAGATCCCGCTGTACAAATTTTGTGCTGTGTCTCCTTGTGCTGTGAAACAACTGATAGAAGTAAAGACTGTTCGTGGTCTTGGCATTGTCTGTCTTGAGGCTTTTTCTGTAAGTGGTGTTCGGAGAGGCTCTGGTACCTGCTGTCTGTAATGCAGCTCCTCCTCTTCCTGCTTTCCGAGCGGAGCTTCGGCCTCGTTGCTTCTGCTGCTGCACGCCTACTGACTGTGGTTTTATGTTCTTGGTTTTGTAGTACAAATGCTACATTACTTCTTAAAAGACCTTTGTGCTTTTTCTAAAGCTGAGCCAAGAAACTGCAGAAAGATTGTCTTCTGCTTTTACTACAGCTCCCGTGCAAACAGCATGTCGAGCAGCAGATTTGAAGGTGTCATTCAAATCTGTTGTTCTTCTAATTTGTGGCGTGTAAGGAAGACTTATCCCAGATAAGAGTTTGAGAATAATTCCATAAGAAACTGGTAAAAAGACGATTCCATCCTCCAGCTGGGGTGTGTATAGCTGATCTGGATGTGTTTGACAAAAAAAAAGTATGACCACCATAGTTTTAAAAATGGGGGTCTTGCACACATTTTAAAAATGTTTTTAATTGACAGCTTGAGGAATCGACTGATTTGAGGTCTCTGACAGAAGGGGTAAAATATGAGTCTCTAATGTCAGGTAGGGCAGTGATCACTTCCAGTAAAAGGGTTAAACTCCATTAAGATGTTTAAATGTCTTCTAGAAAGTAAATATTTGTCATTTTACGTAGGAATTATATAATGTGTTGGGTTTTTTAGAAGGGTTAGATGGGTATCTGGGGCAAGACGGGATCTCAAGATAGCTTCCCTTCCTAACTTCTGAATTTGATCATGAGTAAAAGTTTTAATTAAATCTGAGGTCTAGTCACATTTTGACCTTTTGTTGTTTGGCGGGTTTTTTGGGGTTTTTTTGTATACTACAAAAAGGGATGCCTGCCTGAAGGAAACTTGCATAGATTGAAAATGTAGTTTATTCTTTTAATTCACTACTGCAAAAAGTTCCTGCCTCAGTGGGATAACAGGGAAACCTCAAGCTACTTAAATCATTGGGATAAGTTCCCAATAGTCTTATTTCAAAGCCAGTAAAATGTCCTTTAGAAACCCTACAGTCTAGTTGTCCTGTTCCCTCCCTCAGAGGGTGAAATATAAATTTTTTTAAAAAAAATGTATTTCTAAAAATTGTGTTGACATAGCTCTTTGCTTTAAATTTTAAAAGCAATGTATTTGTGGTGTAGATTTGCATTAGCTCATGGTCAGTGAAGCACCTAAGTGACAAATCCAGTGACAAACTTGCACATTCCTTATTATAGTGCTCATCTTACAAGACTTAGATTTTGATAGATTGCACAGTAGCAATCTAGTATCTAACTGAAGTTTCTGCTCTTTGTGTTGAGAAGCAGCCTGCCTGAGCATGAGGCATCTTTGCTAAGGACAAGAAAGAAAACACTTTGCCAAACACATGGACATGGTTGCAGCACAAAAGCTCTTCAGGATGAAAAGGTTGTTCTAGTCGGAAAGAGTTTGGGGACGGGGGTCAACGATCTGTTCCCATACATACACAACCACAGTAACAGATGTTTTCCTTTGCCGGGAGGTAGCTGTCAGAGACGACTTCTTTTGCCTTTGCTTCCAAGATGCTGTGGAAGATTGGAAAGGACACAGCTGTAGGTATGTTGACTCAAATGGAGCAAGGTCTCAGCAGCCTGGCGTGTAGTGCGGTATGTTTTGAGTGTGTCCGGTCAGTTATGGGAGGAAATATTGGGGGCAAGTGCAACAAAGAGAAAACTGGAGTGCTGGAAAGGCTTGATTAACTTTCTGAAATTCTTCCAGCATCAAGATAATTGGATTAAATTTTAAGAAATTCCAACACCACCTCATTTACATTTAGTGGTATATCAATGCTTTGGTCTACACAGCAATATCACAAGAACTGTCTTCTACTGGAAGTATTGTTCTTTACCGCATATCTACATTGCTACTTTGAATGTATATATAGTTATCTAAGTAGTAGTTTAACAAAATGAACACTTCATTGTGATGTCGTTTCAATTTCTTCAATCTTTACTCTCATCTTTTTACTTGATGTTTGCATAAAGCCGGGTTCGGGTCTCCGTTAATGATAGGTATCACCTTGGATGAGTAAGCCAATGTAATTCACTTATTTCACAGGTGTGTTAATCGAGGTTAAGCAATCACTATTTGGTTATTTCCTAAATGCCCAGAGTTTATAAAACAATCTCTCTTTCAACTGACCCTTAAAAAAACTGCAATGTGTGTCCCCAGCAATATTTCCCTTTATGTTGTTACCATACATACCAGGCGGTATGCACCTGGGAAGCTTGCTTACCGGTGGGAAAAACTCAGAGAGGAGCTGAGCAGGGAGCCTTAGTAAAAACATCATGTTGTACCAAAGCCGAGATCATGGTGGCAGAATCATTCTAAGGGCTGCATGATACAACAGGTGTATAAGGCAGTGATATAGTTTGTTAATGTTGGCACGTTAGTTCATGACAGGAGTGTGGTTCTCCTTCTATAGAAGTATCTGCTCTGTGGTTTAGGCCATATCCCGGGGACTTGGCTCCAGGAGGACGTCCATATCGGAGAGCCACCA